GGGGGGCCCCCCCCCCCCCCCCCCCCTCTCGCCCCGCCCCGCCCCTGCTGCGGAGGGCCGCCTACACTAGGGCGCGGGGGTGAATTCCTGCCCGCGGGTGGTGTCACGTCCCTTTTTGGGGGTGCCAAGCTGTGCCCCTTCCCCAGCCCCCTCTACACAGCTGGATGGTGCCCACCTGCCACATCCAGCTTGCAGACAGACCAGGTCTTGTGCGGGGGGGAAAGTTGCGCGCTGCTGGTCCGATGGGATCCGCGGTTCTCAACCGGGGCAATCTGGGGATCGTTTCCATGAGACCCTGTGCAAGGTGCTAACACGGCTGGGCGTGCAAACACCCTTCATGAGATGAAACCCGGGGCTGTGAGTCAGGATGCCGAATGCCAAGAGCGTCCTGCACGTCAGCAGGCGTCCGCGCTCTTTGCGAGAGAAGAACGGCTCTATTTTTCCATCCTCAAAACGAGGAGCGAAAACGAAGCTGGCATTGCCTCGAGTCTCACCACGGGCTGCGAGGCGCAGCAGGAGCGTCCCAGAAACCGGTCATTTGGTTATTTGCAGGTGACGAGAGGTTGGACCCGCCGCTTCCGCCACAACAGCAGAGGTACTACGGTTACGGTTTTAGTCCTACCCTGTGGGAACGAGTACTTGAGAAATATCTAAGGCCCAAGGTATCATTTTGTTTAAACCTATTCCCCGGGGTCTGTGACGGGCTCGCCGCCGCGGCGTCTTTCTTCCACTCAACGGTGGCTGGAGGATGCGTGGGAGGCGCGGGGCGGCGGGGATCTGCGCAGTTTATCTCCGAATCCTTTCAGGGAGCTTTTAAGAAACACTTCCCTTTGAGACCACGTTAGATCAGCTCCTTCTTGCCGGCCCAGGCCTCGTTATTCCTAGCTGCGTTAACTGTTTGCGCAGAGTCGTCACGGCGCAGGCTCTGCTCCCATCTGTGTGGTTTTATGTCTTCACCTGTTTGCTCTCCTTTGGGCCATACACAAGAGGGAAGCAACCGACTGTAGGTGGCTGCAGATCTAAAACTCCCTGATGTTGTATTCACAATGGCTGTTGGAAATACCCTTGGTCACATGTTCAAAACTGTATCGGAAACTGCCAACATCACAAAAGTGAAATCATTCAGGGGGTGATTGCGCTGGACAGTGTTGTTGGACAGTAGTGAGGTAAGGTTTATTTGTTACTAAAGAACATTAATACAGTAGTAAGATGACAAGGGAGTGGTACCAAACGTTGCTGTTTAATAAAGTACATTGATTCATTTTTATAGAAAAAATAGTTTGCATGTGAAAGTGAAACTCATTTTGCACGTAAACCTCCAAATTATAAAGTTAGATATGTTTTACTTGCATTCTAACATCTGATTTTTTTTCTTCAGTTATTTTCTGTGTTGTGTTTTACATATTCAAATAAACTTGAATTGCCAAACTGTAAAATAATGGTGATAGCAGCAAAGAGACTGTACGATCGGCTTTCACATTCCATTTGTGTTCGTTGCTGCTTTCCAGACTGACAAATGTATTTTGAAGCCTTGGGGAAATGAAAACTCATTGTTGCAACAAGAGCTAGTACTTTAGTAAAATGTCCCAAGACAAATGGAAATTGGCACAATCGTAACAATTTGGGAATTTTAAACCAGACTACAAAATGCTGCTGCTTGTCACTTACTTGAAGAATCGACTTAATGAAGGCTATATGCGTCTTAGGATGTACACAGTGGAATTCTGGAAGTAATTAAATTTAATAAGGTACCAATAAGAAACAAGGGCATGACATTAATAGAAAACTATTTGGGGAAATTATTGTGTGTAATTGAAAATAGGGAGATGTGTTGGGCCATTTCTGTCCAAGAAATGAAGCAGCTATCCAAAGTAAAGCCAAAGGCGAGGAGCAGCTAGGTAAGTTCTCAGTTCCTGTGTACGTTAGCCTTCTAATTTATATTTAAAAACAAAACAATTTCCCTTCCTTTGTGGTCAAAAAGAATTTTGCAAGTCTGATCCAGGGGTAAGCCGAGAGTGTTGTTTAGAGGAAAGGGAGACTTCTGGGTAATGTTTTAGGAAGGGGGTTTTTGAAGAATAAACATTTGTATTAATATTTATAATTTTTTTCCCCCCTGGTACTGTCTGTTGTTTTGTGCTAATGCAGGAGAACCAGAAAGTGAAACTGTCAGCAAGGAAAACTTGAAACTGCTTAGTCTGATTTTTACTGTGCAGTTTCAGTGACATATGTGAATATAACCTGGGCACAGATGACTGGGGGGGAGGGGGGGGCACATGCCCCCCTGAGATTGGCCCCCAACTCTTCACCGCTCAGGACAGGGCAGTTTTTTTGCTGCACGGGCCAGCAGTGTGTGGGGGGGCACTAAGCCACAGCACAGAAATATAGGAGTGGATATGGGGCTTTTGGCCCACCCCTGGTCCTGCCCATAAATTGTGCCCCCCCCAGACTCAGTAGGCACCAGTCACCCCTGAACCTGGGGCTCATTTGCTTCAAATAAGCTTCAGTGTCTAGGAGCCAAAATTCCCCCCTCCCTTCCCCTTCCCAACAGATCCTACCCTGAGACTCACAGCTGCATTCAAGTTTCCTCCTGGTATTCCCATCATTTGCCCCCACCTCCTCCCTTCCCAACTTCCTGAATGGATGTACTAATTCACTCTCCCCATGACATTCAGGTGCCTCACTTCTTTTCTGGGTTAAGCTCCCACTCTCCCTATTCTGGCAGAAGCAGAGGTGGAGGGGTGCAGTCACTGGCAAGCACTTGAAGGTTGCCCAGTAGTGGCAGCTGCTTCAGAACGTCAGGTTCAGCTCATCTCAAAATTTTGGGAGTTTTATCTGCGTGCACTGAAGTTGCATTCACTGCGTTAAGTGCGTCTGTTCTGAATGGTGAAGGGATAAGCTGGAGGACCTTGTTAGATCTGTGATTGTAATATAAATGAATCTGAAGAGACCCTTCTCTCAGGTGTTCATCTGTACGCAAGCCCCTGACCTCAGGCATCATGGAGACAGGTACATGTGAACCCAGAGGGATTAATTTTTTCTCAGTGCTAAGTTTTGTATCATTTCGCTCACCATGCCTCAAGCTGAGTTGTTTGGCAGCAGTGAAATAGAATAGGATATTTATGTGGGCTGTTGTGATGGGTAAGTGTCTACACACCACTGAGCAAACTTAACAAGATTCTTGGATATTTCATTTCCTTGTCATTCAAGTGATTAATGGTAGGGAAGCCATTTTGAGCACGCAGCAAAGGGTGGGTTGCCTCAAGTCTTAATGACAGGAGAGAGGGAACTAGGAGAAAAAGGATAGGGAATGGTTTATGGTTGGCCTACTATTGCATTCTTGCAATGGTCACTATTTTGAGCACATAGTAGGAGGGAGAGAAGAAGTCAGAAAGGGTCCTATGCTCCATCTCCTGATATGGAGGCATCCCACACCCAGAATAAAAATACATTCTAGTTGGATGCGTGCAACAGCTGTTGTATATAATAAAAGAAAATGCAGTGGAGTTTAACAGTCTCTGAAGTGCCGCTGGCCATCTGAATGTTCTTGGATATGAAAATCTGGCCGTGGGTTTGGGTATCTGTAGGAGGTCTCACTTGGGCTCGTGGAAGATTATGAGCTGTCAGACATCTTCATAGAAGGAGATACAAGTTGTGCAGTCTGTGATGACCTCTTTCCCACTGGCAGCATTCAAGACAAGGTGCAGATCTATACTGGTGTCCTATGCCTTAGTCTTGCCCAACTTATAATGCAGACAGGGGCTGCACTGTTGCCCATGGTCTGATTAGGATCCTTATCCATCTTGTGAGTCACCTTTATATCTTTGTTGTTAATACATAGTTGTTAATGCATAGTATCTAGGTTGTGGCCCTACTCAGCCATTGCCAGGGCAATTCCATCAGTTATGTCAGCATCTGCGTCTGTACCCCAGGACTCCTCTAACTTTCTCTCACCAGAGGGCAAGGAATTCTAGGATCTCAACTTGGCCAAAGGCCAGCTGGAAAAATATACTAGGTACTGCACTTGGTTGGTGTGTTGGCTCTTACAGTGGACAAGTACAGAGAAGTGGAACCTGTTTGCATGCCAGCATAACAGGGAAGTGACATCTAGTCATTCATGACTCTGGAGCAGCAGAAGCCATGCAGAGCACTAGAGACCACCCAGGCGAGTAAGCCAGCTGGCAGGGCCAGGTGCAAAGCTGAATGTAAAGGCTGGTGGAGGAGTGTCAGAATACCCTGCGTGGTCATTTCTTTGCTCTGAACATCACTACTGTGCAACTTACTCTGTTAAATCACTTCTGATTCCAACAGTACTTCTCACTTACTTGGAACTGCATCATATGGATGCACACCTTTTTACATTGGTGCATCCAGTTTGCACTGGTGTAAGACAAAACCCACCTGAGCTATTCGTCTTGCAGTTACCCAGCCTCTGAGATATT